TTTGACTACATCTTTGACTCCTGAATCTGACAGTTCCTGTACTCTAGCTGCGTGACATCATTCTGCACAAGTTCCAGTCCTGCATCCACAGCATTTCAGCAATACCTAGACTGCCATCTGGCCATCAATGATATCAGGGCCTACAACAGGCAACCATGCCACTCCTCATCCGGCTGCATTCTCTCACCAAAAAAGTATCTGCTTATCTGCGTTATGCCAATGACTGGCTGATGTAAAGTACATAAAAAGTTAAAACCATGCCCAACTTCTATCACTTAGTGTTCCCCCATCTGAATTTGTAATATTTAACTTTCCTTCAAAACAAACCTTGAACTCTAACATTTAACCCCTAATCTAGCCATTAGCCCTTAACCTTTAACCTAATACAACTTTTAACTATAACATTAAACCTAACCTTAAGGTGGACACTTCAGTGCCATGTGACCTTTGAGCCTAGCACAAAATTAACATAGCCCTTAAATTAATTTTCACACTAGGTAGCCCCTTCTGCATAAGGTTTGCTTCATTTGGCCCTATGTTGGATGTCCTTCTAAGAAAAAGCATGCTGTTTTTGAAGTACATTTAGCACAAGCAAAACTATCCATAATCAGATATCACCCTGTGACATCTTTCTACAACCTTACAAGTTTGCATGATTCTTGATATGACACAATATACAGCAACAGAAATACTTTTACACAACTTTTTAAAAACAGTCTTTTACCTCTTCACGCCGGCCGAACGCAAATGTGCGGCCTCCCGAGGTCTGGGCCTAGACGCCGAGCGGCCGCACATTTGCGTTCTATTAAAAACAAACATATGTGCTAAGAGCGTGTCCTGAGCACGCCCAGCACACATGTCCGGTACTCAGGACCTTTCCCAATCATGTGACTACCGTGATGGCGTGTCATGGCAGTAACATGACCCTAAACCCCACCCTGCCTCCCGGCTTCTGAAATCCTTAAAGGGCCGGGAGGCGTCGGCACCAAGGGGTTAAGATCTAATCAAGTGACATTGTTTAGGCTGAGACAATATCATCAGGCTGCTGCAGTTTAGAGGGGGCATTTTCTCAGTCTCTTCTCCCTTAGGGATCAGGCTGCAACACTGTAACTTTTAGCAAGTCCAAAGGTGAGAGGCTGCAGCACAGACATGATCTATGTTACACATTTGTCAAAACAGCCAGGAATTGTACAGATCACAGGATTTACACACTTGTATCATCTCTGAGTTTTATGCCAGGAAGCTGTGCTGAATGCACAGCCACTGCTGTGCTCTGAGATGAACAGTGCCAATGTGCTGATCCCAGTGCATCATATTGTTTCATATTCTTTTTCTTTTTTTGTTAGAACTTTATTGAAATGTCACAAGTGGAATTTCATTCAGTTCTATTCAATGGAGTGGCACTGTAATACAGTAGTATGTGAAATCAGCACATGCAGTATGGTAGTGTACTCCATAAAAATAAGGCAAATTGCCTTGTTTTTTTGGGTTGGGACAACCTTTGCCAGCACAACCCTATGCAAATGGAAAGGTGTGAGCATCTCAGTTCAGAAAATAGATCTTAAACAAAGAAGACACCATCTTTCTGGAAAGAAAGGCAGACAATGTCTGCGGGACTACTGTGATTGATCTCTGTGAAAGGTAATAAATACCTATGTTACAATTACACATTACTTAGCATGCATGCAGTTAACATGAAAAATATATCTGATTCTGGATAACTGCTAGATAACTAAGACAACCCAAATCTGACCTTGCAAAAAACCCTTGTCTTATACGTGTGATAATAGCAAAATCACCATAAGCTACATAAAACGTATACATAATAACTTTGGGGCAGCTAGTATTGCTAACAGAATGGGAATTGCAAATGCCGCTTTCAGTTTGCATATGCAAAAAAAAAAAGGGTGACATAAATACTTTAATGAGGTCCTGGAGTCTCTGGAGGATGATGACTAGAAGACAGACTTATCAATAATGCTGAAGGTTCTGGTTACAGGTGGTGCAATATACTGAGTGAGGACATTAATAGCCCAAAGGGACAAAGAGATAAATTTTGGTGAGGAAGCCTCTCTGCGGCGGTTTTAATGTGTTTGCACACTGAGGATATGGATGGGTATTAGAAGCAAGAAAATGTTATAAAATGTTGCTGCAATGGTTTTATAAGGGCTGTGCGGGTGGGACAGGGTATGTATCAGGATAAGAATGACACAGGGGTGCCTAGGGAACTACAAGTTAATACAAGGAAGATTGTCAGACATCTCCTCAGTGCCAAAATGGTGTAAAACGTTTGCCACCTAAAGTCTTAGCAAATCTCTACCTTTAGCAAATTGACCTGATCCAGTATAAATCTTGGGCTTGGTGAAAAGATTTACTGATGTTTGTTAATGTTTTATCTAAGCTTACTGTTTGTTTTATACAACATTCTGCACAAGGAAACGGTCTATAAATATTTTAAAACATCAGCTCATAGTAACCTAAGGCTTTACTTGGAAGGCACTGAGCCCAGTACAGCATGTAGAGACATTTGTTAATCTTTTTTGGTGTAGCATGGAGCTGCTGTAGGCAGCCCATATAAGTGAATAAAGATGCTCAGGGCTGTACAGGGCTCAGCGCCCATGCGAATAATGCCTTAAAGGCATTTTTTCTGCCATTATGCAGAAGCCAAAATGATGTGAGAGACAATGATTACCCATTCGGCAAACAGGTCCCCAACTTTTTCGATTTTTAAGAAAATTAGAATTTTCTTCAACTTTTTTGTCTTGGCTTACAGTATCGGAAAAGAAAACATTATCAATCTTGAAAGCACTAACAACTTGTGGATTGACTACTATGAGCAATATTAATGGTAGCAACAGGTCACATGGTGGGTGTGGTGTTCTCAAAGCGTTAATGCCTCTTTCCAGAAAAATGTAAATGTGATCTAACACTGGACATCATCCCCTTCCCCTTGGTTCCTGCTGTACTTACCTCCAGGGCTGCTGAGCTGTCAGAACCCCCACAGCAATCCAGGGATATGAAACCCCCACTCTTCTCCCTCTTCTCCATGCAGTGCTTCTGGGACAGACCAGATCAATGCACTGTGATGGTCCAAAAGTGTTACAAAGAGAAGAGGGAGAAGAACAGGGATTTAAAATCCCCGGACCACTGGACTAGCTGTCGGAGTGCTGACAGCTCAGCAACCCTGGAGGTAAACACAGCGCGAACTGGGTTGGGGGGTATTATTTCACCTCTACATTTTTTAAAGGTGTAAAGGTGAAATAACACTTTAAGAGGAACTTCACCCTAGCAAAATTCTTTTCTAGCCACTCTTCTTTTATGCCACCATGTTGAAATATTCTGCATATGCACAGGTGTTCCATAAGTCTCTGCCAGGTATATAATACTACATAAGGGTCTAGAGGAGAAAGCAGGAGGTGTTGGGCTGCAGAAGAAAAAAAGGTACCAAACATTTAAAAAATTATGAAACTTTCTGCTATTGTATAAAACAATGGGGGGAGGATACAGAAAAGTGAAAGTTCTTTTAATAGGTAAAGGTCTATTTTTACCTAGATAGAATGGTTCGTATTGCATAGAGCAAGGTGGATGTTTTATTAACTCAATCTTTATCTGTGCAGTGCAAGGAGATCACAAGTAGTCTTTTTTTGCCATGTGATAGTTCTGGTAACCTTTAGAAATCGTGCATTCCTAGCCAGAAAACCATTTGTATCTCAATTTAAAATGGTGTTTTATTTTAATAGATCCGAAAAGAAATGTGGGCACCTCTTAATAAAAAAGTGCTGTTAGTTAAATAAATCCTGTGTTTACAAGCACAAAAGGGCAAATATCCAAGGACTGCTAAGAAAGATAATGGGGGTAATTAATCAAAAGCACTTAATGGTACTGTAGATATCTGCCAAGGTTTCATTTTCTAGCCTATTTTGCCAGTGATTCATCAGTAGGTTAGTAAGTCTATTTTCTGGTTATTTTTTTTCTAGTTCATACAGTGTATTCATTTCAGACAGAAGTAGAACAATGTCTAACAGTTGTCTGGGAAGTGTAGTATCAGTACCATTCTACAATTACATTGCATTTTTGTATAATATTATTACATTTAATCTGAGTCTGGTTTGGAAATTATTGTCACAGGCTGTTTTTTTTTTTTTGCTGAAAAAGGACTTTAAAAAAATCAATATGAATCCAAGCAAGGAATGTGTTTATTCATACTGCTTACTATTATTTTGTAATGAATGTACATGCTCTAAGTATAATAGTCTGATTTTCAGATGACCCTGTTAGCATTGTGAAACAGAGCATGGAATATATGTCTTGATCAGGGCAGCAATATGGAAGTAAGGGTCAAAATGACCAATATTTCATCAAGTATAGACAGCTGTGTAATACTTACTATGCTGCTAAAGATCTGTAAGCAGCCAAGGGATGTAAATAAACTTATTCATTTTTATTACTTGGAGACCGCAAACATGGATGGAATTCCTGCATATTTTTTAAAATGTTGATCTTGATTGAATTTTATTATTTCGTTGTATGAAAATTAGGATTTGGAAACTGGATTGTAGCCAGAATTAAGCAGGATTTAATATTTGGCTGCATGCTAATTGCAGATTACAGACAAGTTTGAATTCAATATTTACTTGTTATTTAGTTACATATGACTGCTCCACTTTCAAATTTTAAGCAGTCGTGTCTGGCCAACAATGCTAGTAATTGTTTCTGAAAGTGAGATTTCAGGCTTAATATGTTTTTTTAGGAATTATAAAGACATTTTTGTTACAGGATATCTAAAATGTAATGGATATACACTGTATATGTGAATATGCTTGTCTAGTTTTTTCTTACAAAACTTTGTATGCTTGATTCCAGGCAACACTTATTTTGGATTTGATTAATGTTTTCTATCAACAAATATCTGTACTGTGAGATTTTGTTGACTTACTAAAGGCAATTGGCTGTTCACTTAGAAAAGTGGATTTTGAATTTGCAAGGGAATTTTTTGTGAATTATGTGAAGCTTTGCTGACTTCCATTATCCAATCACGTGCAAGCAAAAATTCAGTTTTTCATTTAACCACTTGAGCTCCTGAGGATTTACCCCCCTTAATGACCAGGCCTCTTTTTGCTACCCGGCGCTGCACTAATTCAACTGATAATTGCGCGGTCATGCAATGCTGCCCCGTCCTTTTTTTCACACAAATAGAGCTTTTCTTTCGGTGGTATTTGATCACCTGTGCGCTTTTTATTTTTCACGCTATAAACAAAAAAATACCAAATATTTTGAAGAAAAACAATATTTTTTACTTTCAGCTATAAAAAATATATAGTAAACTCAAAGTTAGTTAGAAATTTAGGCCAAAATGTATTCTGCTACATGTTTTTGGTAAAAAAAATCCCAATAAGTGTATATTGATTGCTTTGTGTGACAGTTATAGCGTCTACAAACTATGGTATAGATACTGCAATTTACGCCATTTTTTTGCTATACAGCGCTGCGCTAGTTTAACGGACAATTGCGCGGTCATGCAATACGGTACATAAATGAAATTTATGTCCTTTTTTAACACAAATAGAGCATTCTTCTGGTGGTATTTGATCACCTGTGCACTTTTTATTTTTGGCGCTATAACCAGAAAAAGTTTTGAAGAAAAAAAAAATTTTTTGAAAAAACAATATTTTCTCATTTTGGTCATAAAAAATATCTAAAAAAACTAAAATTTCGTCATAAATTTAGGCCAAAATGTATTCTGCTACATGTTTTTTGTTAAAAAAAATCCCAATAAGTGTATATTGATTGCTTTTTGTGAAAGTTATAGCGTCTACAAACTATGGGAGAGATAATGGAATTTACATAGCTTTTACTTTCTGACTGACCATCACATTTCTTGAGCTGCTAAAATACCAGGATAGTACAAACACCCTCAAATGACCCCTTTTCGGAAATTAGACACCCTAAGCTATCTGCTGAGAGGCATATTGAGTCCATGGAAGATTTATTTTTTTTCCACAAGTTTCTGGAAAATGACCAAATTTTTTTTTTTTTTTTTTACACGAAGTTGTCATTTAAATGATTTATTTCTCACACAAGCCATGGGTATATGTGGAATTACACCCCAAAAATACATTCTGCTATTTCTACTGAGTATGGGGATACCACATGTGTGAGACTTTTTGGGAGCCTAGCCACATACAGGAGCCTGAAATCCAATGACCACTTTGAAAGCCTGAAGGTGCGTAACTTCCTCATTACACTTCCTCACTACCTATCACAGTTTCGAAGGCCCTGACATGCCAGGATAGCCCCAAACCCCCCCAAATGACCCCTTTCTGGAAAGTAGACACCCCAAGGAATTTAAAAAAAGGCATGGCGAGTATTTTGCAGATCTAATTTTTTCTCACAAGGTTTTGAAATATAAAAAAATAGAAAAAATATGTTTTTGGTTTTTTTTTCTTCATTTTCCAAAAACTTGTGGCAACAAATGAGATCTGCAAAATACTTATCGTGCTTTTTATCAAATTCCTTTGGGTGTCTACTTTCCAAAAAGGGGTAATTTGGGGGGGTTAGGTGCTATCCTGGCATTTCAGGGCCTCTGAAACTGTGATAGGTAGTCTGGAAGTGTAATGAGGAAATAAAACCCTTTAAAAGCCTGAAGGTGCTTATTGGATTTTGGGGTCCTGTACTTAGCTAGACTGCCAAAAAGTCTCTCACATGTGGTACCCCCATACTCGGGAGAAGTAGCAAAATGTATTTTGGGGAGTAATTCCACATATACCCATGGCATGTGTGAGCAGTAAATCATTTAAGTGACAATTTTGTAAAAAAAAAAAAATATATATTTTATTTTTGTCATTTTCCAAAAACTTGTGGTAAAAAATAAATTCTTCTATTGATTCAACATGCCTCTCAGCAAATAGTTTGTGGTGACTACTTTCCAAAAAGGGGTCATTTTGGGGGGTGGGGGCGTTTTATGCCCAGCATTGAAGTTTATGCCACACATCATTCACTCTTCTAACCACCTGAAGACCAAGCCTTTTTGTTCACATGAAAAAAATCTGTATTTTTTGCTAGGAAATTAATTTAAACCCCAAACATTATATATTTTTAAAGCAGACACCCTAGTGAATAAAATGGTGGGTACTACAATTTTTTTATGGCACATAGTACTCGTGCAGAAATTTTTCAAAAGCAATTTTTTTTTTAAATTTTTTTTACTTTAAATGCACAAAAACACAATATATTGGCCAATTGTTTGGTAAAATATAAAAGATAATGGTATGCCGAGTAAATAGATACGAAACATGACATGCTTTAAAACTGCGCATGCCCCGTGCAATGGCAACAAACTGCAAACATTTTTAATATCCATAGGCAGCGCTTTAAAAGCCTTTAAAAGCTACCATTTTAGATTTACAGAGGAGGTCTAGTGTTATAATTACTGCCCTTGATCTGACGTTCATGGCAATACCTCACATGCATGGTGCAACCGCTGTTTACATAACAGACGGCACAGGGTCAAGGCTTGTGCACACAGGTGTGCGTGCATGGGAGGGGCAATTTTTTTTTTTTTTAGTTATTTTGATTTTTTTAAATTATTTTTACATTGTACCTTTCATTTTTTTTATCACTTTTAATGCTATAACAGGGAATGCAAATAACCCCTATAACTTCAATGGGCATTGTCATATTCTTTTTTGAGAAATCTGCGGTCTATCAGACTCTGGATATCTCCTCTACCCTTACATTATCTAATCAAACCAAAATCGGTGTGATCAGATGCTTTCCCAATTTACAAATGGTGCTGTTTATATCCTGCGAAACTGAAGTGATGAAATGCTTGTAGCTTCCGAATTCTTAGACTATAGAGATGAATGGCACCATTCTGGTCTCCAATCTGCTCTATGGTCAGCTGGCAGAAACACCGGCTGCATTCTCAGATTCCCCTGATGGCACAGGACTGCCCAAGAAGGCCGTGAAAGGCAGCGGGGGAGGGGGGGACATCATCTCCCACTGCTTGTAAAAGCAATCTTGCAGCTAATTAGCCACTAGGATTGCACTTACATGAAAGTCGATCGCCGGCTGAAAAAAACGATACCAGGATGATGCCTGCAGCTGTAGGCATCATCCTGGTATAACCATTCAAATCCAGTGATGTACCAGTACATCGCTGGTCCTTGTTGGTTATATATGCTATGTTCTTTTTTTTTTTTTCTATGCAGCCTGTGTGAATGAATGAAAAAATGAGAAGAAATCTCTGCCAGAAAAAGTGTGTGGTAAGCCCACCATTAGAATATACCACCCTGCATCCACCCACTTCTAATGGTGGGCACACATTAGGTCACACTTTGCCACAAGTGCCAGTTCCAAGATTGAATAAATGTCTAAATAGTGACACGCTTGAAAAAAATTGTCCATATAAGTGGTACCTCATATGGAGAAAAATGATGACACCAAGTCCCAAACTATCTTGCCACTGCTCCCCATGTAGTCTGGGCATCCGGGGGGCTCCATGTGACTATCTTTTCCCTCGTAAATCTGAAACATAAGTATAGCCTGTTGTCCTCTCACAGGTCTTCTACATCTTGACCCCATATCTGGAACGCTTGCAGGGCACAAAAATTAATGAGGGACTCCTCAACACAGATGTTTTGCTGGGGAGTATAGACATCTGCAAATTTTAGCTTAAGGTGATTTGCGAGGGGCTGAATTTTGTGGAGCCGGTCAAATTCAGGGTCAACCCAAGGATGACAGAGTGTATTGTCACTGAAATGCATAAAACACATTATACTCTTCATATCTATGCCTGGCCATGGCAGCAGAGAACACGGCATATGATGAATCGGGTCTGCGGACCAATACAAACCGCAATTCATTTCTTTTAGTAATGCCCATGTTGAGGGTTAGGCCCAAAAAAAATGTAAATTTGAAAACCATAATGAGTTTCCATGCAAATGGTCTGGGTAAGGTTTAAATTTGGGTTGGCGGCAATAAATTGTTGTGCATATAAATTGCTTTGATCCACAATCAACGCATACAGATATTCCGTGAAAAACAGCTCCAAAAATCAAGGTATGTGAAAGACCAAGATGTACTAGACCGCTGGTACTCGACAGTTCACCAATAGGTAGAGCGGCACTAGTACTGGCACTCTGCTGCATATGAGAGTCATCAAAATTTACCGGCAAGTGCTAACAGAGATCAGGCCTGATTCTGTGAACACTGCAGTTTTGTGTGCAATGTATCAAGTGACAATGACCTACTGATGCTGCACTTGCTGGGGAGAAAGGGGGGTAAGCGTAGGGGCTAAACGCAGGTGTTGGCAGGTGCCGGGCTGATCCCGCTAACACTGCATTTTGGGGATGGTATACTAACGTGAATGCTGGTATAGTGCTGACCTGATCAAAGATATTGACCTGTTCAGACACTATGCTAGCAATGGAGGTTTATTGTACATGAGCGTGCTTGGCAATCAAGGGGTTAAATGTGATGACTGGTGTACTGATGGGCAATCTGACGCTATCTGGGAGGGGTGTGAAAACCACGGGAGCGCGAATCACGTATATATATATATATATATATATATATATATATATATATATGTGTGTGATTTTGCATACCCATGCCGCCCTGTAGCAGTATTTCTGCTGTAGGGTGGTCAGGAAGTGGTCACAGAAGAGGTTTGTGTTACGGCGCTGCGTTACTTTAACTGACAATTGCGCGGTCATGCAACACTGCACCCAAATTAAATTTACATCCTTTTTTCCCACAAATTGAGCTTTCTTTTGGTGGTATTTGATCGCCTACGCGTTTTTAATTTTTTGCGCTATAAAAAAATGGCTGACAATTATGAAAAAAAAAAAAAAAAAACAATATTTTGGACTTTTTGCTATAAAACATGTCCAGTAAAAAAAATTAAAAAATCAAATTTTGTCACAAATTTCATCCAAAATGCATTCTGCGACATGTCTTTGCTAAAAAAAATCACAATACGTGTAAATTTAATTTGTTTACATGAAAGTTATAGCGTTTACAAATGGCGGGAAAGATACTGGGATTTTAAATTTTTTTATACTAATAATGGTGGCGATCAGCGACATATGGTGGCAATCAGCGACATATGGCAGCGATCAGCGACTTATGGCAGGACTGCGGGACTGCGGCGGACATTTTGACACTGGGGGGGAACTGACTTGGGGTCACTGACATCCCCAGTGACACCAATACAGTGATCAGTGAAAAAAAAACCCACTGGCACTGTACTAATGACACTGGGGAGGAAGGGGTTAACATTTTTTTTCACTGAAAGGGTTAGGGGAGTGTTTTACTAGGGGGAGGGGGTATGTGCTGGATGGGGCAGGCTGATCGGGAGAGATAAACTCTTCTCTCCCTCTTCAGCTTGTCAGGAGCTGACAGGCAACTGGCAGCAGGACTGTGTGTAAACATTGCAGCCCTGCTCTCTGTCAGGGATTACCGCTAATCGCGGGGAAACGGCCGGTAATGACCGGCCGTGACCCGGTGGCTGAGACCCGCTGCTGACACCCGCGGGACAGGTAGGGCGGGCGCGCCCTCGCTCGCGCCCCCTACCTGTTTTGCAAAACTACGTTTTAAAACGTGGTTTTGCCCAGCCGTGCCGCCCTGC